TCACACGTACACGAGCTTTGTTTGTGTGAGTGCTAACTGTTGTGCTAGGCCGCCGACCGATGGTCCTATCATCGAGGGCTGCAAGCGGGCCGGAATTCCCATCACTGCACTTGACCCCCTTTTCGCGTCGGATCACCGGAGCTAGGATCGGAGCGGAGTTCGTAATGGAGCGGCGGTTAGGATAGAAGAGAGCTCCCGGAGCAATAATTACGCGTTATATATTAATTATTGCTCCCGTTCGTTTTATTACGGACTTTTCCGTTATCGTTCGGCGGTCGGCAATCCCTGCGGAGGGGATTGTCGATCGGCGATGTTCGGTCGCGTTCGGTCGGAGCGGCGGATAGCGCGAGGCGCAGATCGTTCGGCGATCTTCGGTCGCGTTCGGTCGGAGCGGCGATAGCTACTGTCGACGGCGGTAAATCTAATATCGCGAGATGTGTAACGTTCCTGGCAGCTGGTATCGTCGGAACGATGCATTGCGGAGTGCATCGTTACACATGTAATAGTAGGAAAAAAGAAAGGCGGAACGATAACGACATGGTCGGCATCGGCTCGGTCGGCTGGGTGCATAACTAGAAATTAACACAGGTATATACTGTGTATACTGCCAAGTAAAGAGAAATAATTTCGTAGTTCGGAGTTTGGTAGGAAAAAAAAACGATTTTCGCATTAATTAAAGACTGCTTTTGTCATGGAGACTGCAGATATGATGTTGATGGCCATGATAACATTATTAAATCGATTAAATCTAATAATTACCATGCGCTTTATTGGCCACTTGGAAGAACTTTTCAGGTTAATTACCTCATAGTTACTTCACCGCGTACCGCATACCGCGTACCACGGCTTGCCGCCGCGGTTCCTGGTTATTTTACCGCGTACTGCGTTCCGCGCTGCATGTAAAATCACCCTAATACGGATTAGCTCTCTCGATCTATGCCAACGCCATCTGTATATATAATTCCGCTTCCGACTTCTCTTTTATTTGTGGCATTGCCATTTTAAAATAGCAATTAGCAAACGGCTGCAAATTACCACGTGCGTATATCCGCGTATTCGCATCGACATTCATTTTTGTGAGGCCACTCGAGTAAACCGGGTACTGGCCAGCATAGTAGGAGTGCGAACTGTGCTGTGTTTTGCTCATCGAGCATCGACGCAATCGCGCGTTAAACAATTAAACATATCGTCAAAGCATCGTTGCTTCGTCGCGGACGACGAAGTGAGTGCAAGAGAGGAAGAGAAAGAGAGAGTGAGAGACGAGGGAAGGAGAGACGGTAAGAGACGATGTTTTAATTAAAACTTAATTAAAAACACGGTAATTATACAGAATAGCTGTGACAGATTTCCTAACCTCCATAATCGTCAACTTTAACGCTAAATATCTCGGTTCGTAGGGCAGAGAGACACTTTTTTCTGCCAGATTCTTTCGTTTCATGCAAAAACGCATCGAATAAGCCTAATTTCATCGATTTTTGAGCTGAGGCAGTTATTCTGTATAATTACCAAAAGAATACTTTAAAATAATTTATAATATCTTAAGGTATGTTTTATAAAATTTCTTGCAGTATTAACTCGTATACACTACCGTACGTGTCTCTAGATAGAACGGAACTTAAAAAAGGAATATCCTGAAAAAACGAATGAGCGAATGAGAAAGGAAAGGACGAGGGAAGGAGAAAGACGGACAATTAACTGGAGCTAAAAAAAAAAAAGAATAAAAATAAGATATTTTGAGAATAAAAATAATAAAATTCTTATTATTTTGACTTTTTGAATAAAGATTATTCAAAATATATTTTTCATCTTTTTAATTTACTAAATTATCTTGTATATTACTGCAAATCTAGATGCTCACACGTCCATTTAACGGCCATTACGGATATCCATCTGACATCCATCGGACATGTCGGGACGTTTTTAGTATGTCCACCAATGTCACAAACGGATGTCCTATGGACGTCCAATGAATGTCCGAAGGACGTCAAACGGATATCCTCAATATCCGTAAAGGATGTATTATGGATATCCATCGGATATCCGTGTGCTGTCTGGGCTATAACGTCATAAATAGGGGATGAAGAAGTGTCACGGACGGACAAGTGTCCTTACGGCGCGCAAAAGGATTTAAACAAAAAAAAATGTTTCGAAACATAAACAATAGATGGTTAAAGGCCCGTCTACATAAGTCGCAACACGCAGAACGCAGTTCGCAAGACTAGAAACTAACCTAACATATTTTAGTTATAATAGGTTGTAGGACGCAGGACGCAGAAAGTTAGGTAAATTTCAACTTTTGTGTCCTGCGTTCTGCGTCCTTCATATTTCGGTCTGCAACCTATCACAATCTGAAATACGTTTCACTCGCGACCTGTGATCTGCGTTCTGCGCATGAAGTAAGAATACTTCATGGTTCTGCGCAAAGACATAGAGAATAGACTGCGCGATCCCGTATCTATGTAGTATCAAAATGTGTCAACGAAAATGAGAGAGAGGGTCCGTGCAAGACGGCCATCTCTATCTTTTTCCATTCCATGGTGTAATGGGAGAGAGAATGAGAGGGAGATGGCCGTCTTCCACGGTCCCTCTCTCTCATTTTTATTGACCATTTTGACACACGAATCGCGCAGTCCATTCTCTATGTCTTTGGTTCTGCGTCTTATGTAGAATGGCCTTAAGTGTCGTGGACGAAGAAATGTAGACGGTAAACGTCTTACGAACAAGTGACGACGATGAAATGTCGAATGATGAAATGATACAAGGTGAAGTGTCCATATTGTATATAAATAAATTCTGATTTGCCTCCAAGTAAAATAATTTTAATTTAAAATAAAAATCTGGATTTAATCTGTAGTTATGACATAAATCAATTACTAACATAAAATCGGTAAAATATCGTATATATAAATTCAATTTGATGACAATTGTCAGTGTCAATTGGTGTTATAAATTAGAATTTTACTAGCATTTATTTATACATTTTGTCAGTAATAATTACTAGTTGTAGACTGTAGCGATTAATGTTAACCGGTAACGTGTAAATATAGGCAGTGTAGGTTACGCACTACGTAATACGTAGTACGTCAGCAGTTCAGTCGCGCTGTTATGTCATTCAAAAATTAATATTATGCGTATATATTAATTTTAAAGGATTTTCAAGAAATCGTACAACTAATATATCGTGTAAATATTATATCGCATCGGGCCATATTGTTGCTATTATACCTTCATGTCAAAGCACCATCATGAGACTTTAGTTTTCAGTATGTGTCATTTTACCGAAGTGTAAACAATATTATATTTTTAAGCATTGAATATGTCGAGTTTTGTGCCAACAAAACGCAATTTGCAGGAAGTTTTGCTTTTTTAATTCCATTTGAAGAAAAGTGCTGCTGAAAGTCAGCGGATGCTGTTGGAAGCTTATGATTTTACTCCATTGATTTTAACATGTGAGTACTGGTTTCGACGTTATAAAAAAGGTAATTTTGACACGGAAGACAAGGAACGTCCAGGTCAGTCGAAAAAATTTGAAGATAAGGAAGTGGAAGCTTTACTCGATGAAGACCCGAGTCAAACGCAAGAACTTGCAAAATCATTAAATGTTGATCGATCAACGATTTTCAGACGTTTGAAGGCCATTGGAATGATTCAAAAGCAAGAAAATTGGGTGCCGTATGAGATGAAGCCGACGATCGTCAAAAGGCGCAAAATAACCTGTGAATTGTTGCTTCAAAGACACAAAAGAAAAATTTTTGCATCGTATCGTGACGGGTGATGAAAAATGAATACGCTATGATAATCCAAAATGCAAAAAATCATGGTACAGACCAGGCGAACGGCGAACCATCAACATCGATGGCAAAGCCGAATATTCATGGCGCCAAGCTCATGCTCTGTATTTGGTGGAATCAGTTGAGTATAGTTGTTTTGAAATTCGCTGGATTTACTTCCGCATGAGGGTAAAGAATGAGACAACTTGTGTTAGGCCACAGTATATACAGTAGCGCAACTCTCCCGATTTTATGTCACACAAAATGGAGTGCGCATGCGCGAAATAAACAAGATGCCCAGTCGCGCCACCTAAATTTCTTTCTCACTTCTTCTTATCCGTTCTCTGTCACTCTCTGTCAGGACCATTTAAATGGTTCCGTTTAAAGATCCTGTGATTAGGTGTGTGCTAGTGTGTGCTTAGAAAGCTCAAATTTGAAGGAAATTAGTATAATTGCCGTCTGTTTGAGTTGTGTTAGTTTGAGAAACTCCGAATCTAGTTTGTGACCGAAAAGTTTGTGGAAATAAAATAGTAAAAAAGTGGAAAAAATTAAGTGAAACGAGGAACGATTACTAAGAGAATAGTTAATCTATACAACCATTGCATAAAAATTATTATCTTATTTAATTTAAAAAAAGTTATTATTAAATATTGTTTATAAATGTAATAATTACAGTAATTATTTTCTTAAACGTATAACATTAAATTTTACTTTTTGTTGTTTATATTAATATCTTAAACCTGCGATATATGATGTTTGTTTTGCTGCCGGATTGCTTACGTTTCAGTTAGAAAATCTACGTTCCGTATGACGCAATTCTAATAATTTACAAAAACGCAAGCAATCTAACAGGAAAAAACGCATTGTATATATGTCGCAGACTTTAATTAAAATATTTTTACAGTATAATATTTATATTATACAATATTTACATAAGCTTATATTTTCTTATCTTTTTATTTTACAATGCATTACAATTATGGTTTATTTTTTTAAAGTTTTTATTACATTTAGATTAATTCGATGTAGTACATACAAATCAGCTAGAGTAGCTAGAGATGGAAAGATGGAGAGTAAAGAGCAAGTGAGAAAGAAGTTTAGGTGGCGCGACTGGGCATCTTGCTTATTTCGCGCATGCGCACTCCATTTTGTGTGACACTAACATCAAAGGTGCCGACAGAGAGTTCCGCTACTGTATGTATGTACTGTGGTTAGGCGATGCGAGTTGCAGCCTTTTGGCTTCTCTCTATTTTTATTACGTACATATATATCGCCTGTGGCGCCTTCACATCGAAACGACGGAATTAAAACAAATGATTCGCGGTAAGGCGCGAAATTGCAACAATCAAACGCTATAAATTAAAGAAATTATGAGGCTATTAAAAACTGAACAATAGTTATTATGAGCTGTTCCAACGAAACCATCACTGAAGAACGCTACTAACAACAATTGACGAAATTGAGCCGAGCATTGAAGCAAAACGACTAGATTACGCGAAAAGACACGACAAAGTGATTTTCCAGCACAACAACGCTCGGCCACATGTTACAAAACCGGTCAAGGAAACGACAGAAACGCTTAATTAGAATGTCGACACCCGATATGTATGTCCCAATATGGACTTCAGATATTGCTCCTTTCAATTACTGCCTATTTCGATCGATGACTCATGGCATGTCTGAGCAACGCTTCCATTCTTAGAAAATACTAAAAAATAAATCGATATATGGATAGCCTCCAAAAGATGTGTCGTTCTTTCGACGTGGAATCCACTTATTACCAGAAAGATAGGAACCAGACAGCACAGGATGTCCTATGGACATCCGTTTCATGTCCATTTCTGGTCGGGATGTCCATGGACCTTTATAAGCTGCCCATAGGATATACATTTATGGATGCTCTACGGATATCCCTAAATGCACAAATTTGTATATCCATATTAGTCCAGTCAAATGAGCTTTTGAAGAGGAAAAAATTGCTCGCGGGCTGTAGCTTCGTGGAGGGGCGTGTTTTGGGGTTGTAATTACCCAAAAATTTTTACATCCCCGCGTCATGGTCGTAGCGAAAATGGGGGTGCAAAAAAGGTCAAAGAAAACGGTTTTTCGCCAATAACTCAAAAAGTTGAATTTTTAGGGTAAAATGTATAGACGTGAAAGTTGTAGAGAATTAAATTTTACATAAGAAACGTCTTGACACAATTTTTTACGACCATTTACAGTCGATGTACATTTTTTTTTAATAATAGCTATTTTATGACAAATGAAAAATACGCATGCGCGTCGCGCATTTTTCACCGATAGTTCAAAAATGGCGACTCGAATAAAAAAATAGTTCAAATAAAAGTTGTAGACAATTTCATTACGAACAATTTCCTTTTTTTCTGTTTTCTGTACGATCAATATTGACAGAGATATGCATTTTTTAAAACATGTATTATCGCTTCTCGAGGATAGTTGTTACTGGTAAAATCGCTTATAAGTCAAAATGTATGGGTTTAACGCAAATATTACATCTTATGAAAGTTAAAGATAATTAAATATCGAAAATTTTCATGTATGCACAAAGTCATTTTGGATATGTGCGTAGTGTGATAATACTAATAAACATGAAAAAATTGTCTTTTTTGTGGATTTTGTCAAAAAAAGTCACTTTCGGTTAGCTGTGGGCCAAAATGTATCTATACATCTATTCAAGAGAATTAAATTATCTTTAAAATCGTTTTTTATTCGCCTCCGTACGATTATTTGGTAACGAGTTACAGCTGATTGAAATATCTGTTTCAAATACAAATTCAAACAAAGTTAATAAGTTATTGCAAAAATATGTGCGTAATAATTTTTTAAAAATTGGATATCACCTATTTTCAATAATTCATATGCATATGGAAGTAACGTAATCACATAAGTTGATCGAAAGGTATGATAAGTTATTAAAAAACACCCTCGAAAAGTGGTGTTTTTTGAAGAAATGATACACAATTGCTGTTTTTACTTCTTTTTTTGCATATACCTTTTTTTAAATTGATTTTACGAAGAAAATGCATTAGATCAAAATTAAAGCTGACAAAATTTCCTACAAAAATGATCCATTCATATTCGACTTGATATAAGTACTGTTATGCAATGAATTAATCAAAATGCTTGTTATTTTGAATTTGGAGCAAAGTGAAACTTTGAATCGTTTTCAATGTTGAAAATAATGTACTTAAAAATTTTTGAGAATTTTTTCAAGTATTTCATCTCATTCTATACACATTTAGGTGTCGTTTACCACCATACCCATATTTTTCGGACGAATAGCATAAGAGAAAGTTCCCCCCCGGCGGCGAGCGTCGCTGGTCGTGCAGATGGCCAGTTCGCAGTAACGGCTGTAGAAGCTGGTATTCGTTGAATTCAGTGTCGAAAACGTAAACCTAATCTTCTATTTGCAATTTTTAACACAGTTATTATTAATTTTTCAAATTTCGTCCGCTATATTTTATCCGCCATCTTTAATTTATTACAATATTTAAGAACGTCTTCACGATCAGCGACCACAAAATCCGTAAGTACAATATTTATTTCATTAATTAATTAATTAATACATAATTGTGTACTATTTTGTGCGATAGTACTTTCTACTAATATTGACTGCAAAACAGTAAATATTTAAAAAATGCATATCTCTGTCAATATTGATCGTACAGAAAACAGAAAAAAAGGAAATTGTTCGTAATGAAATTGTCTACAACTTTTATTTGAACTATTTTTTTATTCGAGTCGCCATTTTTGAACTATCGGTGAAAAATGCGCGACGCGCATGCGTATTTTTTATTTGTCATAAAATAGCTATTATTAAAAAAAAATGTACATCGACTGTAAATGGTCGTAAAAAATTGTGTCAAGACGTTTCTTATGTAAAATTTAATTCTCTACAACTTTCACGTCTATACATTTTACCCTAAAAATTCAACTTTTTGAGTTATTGGCGAAAAACCGTTTTCTTTGACCTTTTTTGCACCCCCATTTTTGCTACGACCATGATGCGGGGGTGTAAAAACTTTTGGGCAATTACAACCCCAAAACACGCCCCTCCACGAAGCTACAGCCCGCGAGCAATTTTTTTCTCTTTTTGCAAAAATATCGGCTCATTTAACTGGACTATATGTTGTTCGCAATGCGGATTTCGGCGCATATAGCTCCCTCGATCTATGCCAATGCCATCTGAATATGTCATTCCACTTCCGATTTCTCTTTTGTTTCTTGCCATTTTGAAATAGCCGTGAATCTTGTTGCATCATCCGTCGTATTGGATGGACACGTTTTTGTCGGGTACGTGCTTGTTTCCGCGTTATATTTTTGAAAAGTGTGCGCCGACTTCGACTGTGCCGTGCGATTACTCAAAATTCGCTTAATGGTCTCGCCATTTTGGATGTCCCGTTCGTTCATCCTGACACGCGTATTAGCGGCGTGACGACGTCGTGGACGCAAGCAGTTAGGTTAGCCGGTGTTCGGGCGGTTCTCGCCATTTTCGCGGGTTATGCATTTTTTTAATTGAAGACGTAAGGTTTGTTCGCGTCGCACGCTCTAACATGCTCCAATATGCTCCTAACGTGTTCGTTGAAGTGAGCAAGAGCTATAGCAGGAGCATATTGGAGCATGTTGGAGCGTGCGACGCGAACAAACCTTACGTCTTCAATTAAAAAATGCATAACCCGCGAAAATGACGAGAACCGCACGAACACCGGCTAACCTAACTGCTTGCGTCCACGACGCAATAACCAAGACTGAAATAACCGTGCAAACGGTACGTGTGCGTGTACTGAAGTGCGAACCGTGCCGTTGTGCTCGTCATGAGCATCGTCGCAATCATCAAAAGCAAGAACCCACGTAACACACCAGCGCGTGTAAAGCGCTTTCGAAGCGCTGTTCAGATTGCACCTCCCAAAAGTGCTGTTAATTATGCACTTTTATTACATGCGGCTAATTTCAAGTCTTGATTAAGAAATGAACATGCGCGTAAAAAGCGCTTTAAAAGCGCTCGCTCTTCCTTTACTGCACATGAAAAGTGCAGTAAATGTGCTATAAAACTGTATTTATTTTGCGCTGATTATATGCGCTTATAATGCACTTTTCATAGTGGATTTTGAAAGCGCTTTTAAAGCGCTAAAAAGCTGCTGAAGTAATGTGACTGCATACGCGTCTTTTTAGCGCTTTTTAATCGCTAGTGTGCTACGTGGGAAGCATCACTCGCAATCGTCAAGCATCGTCGTAATCATCGCGGACGACGAAGTGAGTGATGCTTCTTGCTTTTATTTAATAAATTAAAAAGATGAAAAATATATTTTGAATAATCTTTATTCAATATATAATACAATATATAATATTTATTAAAAAAATATTATGAGTATATTATATATTGAATAAAGATTAAAGATTAAATTATTCAAAATATATTTTTCATCTTTTTCATTTATTAAATTATTCTGTATATTATTGCAAATCTGGATGCTCCTTTATACGTCCATTAAAAACGGTTATCGGATATCTATCGGACATGTCAGGGACGTTTTTAGTATGTCCACCAACGTCACAAACGGATGTCCTATGGACGTCCACTGAATGTCCGAAAGACTTCAAACGGATGTCCCACGGATATCCTCAATATCCATAAAGGATGTATTATGGATATCCATCGGATATCCGTGTGCTGTCTGGGATATGTCCGCATGATGGTTGACTTAAAGTTGACTTACAGTCGTCTTCAAAGTGGGACATTGTATGACTTGGAGACGTCTCTAAGTTGTCTAAAGTCAACATACGGACGTCTATTTTCAGACGTCTAGCAGCATAAGTCGACTCAGAGTCGACTTAGAGACGATTTTGTGCTATTAGGGATGACAACGAGGCACAAGCGCCAATTACAGGGCAGGACTGCCAACGGTGATAAGAAACATCACGTGAGTGTATCCAAATATTATTTTATCCTTATTCAACATTCAGTGAACAACAGGAATGAAATGATATTCCCCCTACACTTCGAAGATCGATCTCTTATTAAATGAATCGATCTACATTAAAATCGGATACTGGCGATTAAAAAATCGATCTTTTTTTGCAAAATATCGATCTTTTAGAGGATTGGATCGAGATTGCACATTCCTATCTCATATCGAACCAAATCGAACTTGTGATCAACCCGACCCAGAATCGGGTCGAGTCAATTAATCGAAAACGCAGTAATATCGCACATTATTAAAAATTAATGAATATTAATATTTACAGTTAATTACCAACCAAACAAAGTTGAACACATTTCAGTTGTAAAAATTGAAGAAGAAGATAATAATATGTGCGAATTACGAACTGAAATTGTTTTTCAACCTGATAAAGGTAACACGCGCACATGATACTCATAACGCAACACTATACGTTTCAAAGATTTCTCTTATTAATAATTTTTTGTAAATATTATTATTATTATTTTTATAAACAATATTGTGATTATTATATTTTTTTAGACCAGAGCTGTAACTATAATGTATTATCTTGGTCAGGGGAACATGATTTGATCAATTTTAATTTAAAAAAGGTAAGAGAGAGAGACAGAGAACTTTACGTTAGTTTAAATTTATCTCAATTTTATCAATAAAATTACTAAAAAACCCATATTTATAATCGTATTTCTGCTGAGAAATTCAATTAAAACTAATTTTGGGTCGTGGAACAGTTCAATAGACGAATCTTGAGAGTTAATTTACTTCACATTTGTAATTGTGACTCAAGTGAGACATGTGCAGTGTTGCGCTTATTGTTAGATGGTTTTAAAATCATCTAGATGAAGATGAGATGGAAATCCGTAAATCCATCTTAGATGAGATGAAGATGGTTTTAATTTGCAAAAATCTAGATGAAAGATGAGATGGTTAAAGCGATCCATCTAGATTGTTTTTCAGATGGTTTTGTTTTAAAATAATTATAAACATAAAATGTTGCGCTAATCGGAAAAAGGATATATAAACGCTCACATTTTTATTTATTAGTCCTTGTTTTTCAAAAACAAAAGTTTCTCAAAATTCCCATCCGACAAACGGTTACGACGAGGTACATGTATTTGTTGTCCGATACTAAACAGCCGCTCTACTGGCGCAGATGATGATAAAGAAGTATTATATTAAAAAAAATTTTTTTTTACATTAGGGAAATTTACGAGGAAACATAAATCCTTTGATTTTGATTCTAAATAGAAAAGTGCTTCTATGCTGCTGCTGATAATTGGTTGCGTACTAATAAGATCATTTTTTTTCATAAAATCGTAAGAAAAAGAAAAATGTCAGCTGAAAATTGTAAGAAACAAACCTATTTATGTCAAATTAAAATCATCTAAAATTTTTTTTAGATAGGATGGTATATTTTTCTCTCTATAAGATAAAGATGAAGATGGTTTATATTTGCACAATCTAGATGTAAGATGAGATGTTCCAATTTTCCATCTAGATGACCATCTAAGATGGTTTCATCTAGATGTCGGCAAACGCTGGACATGTGTTATATTAACGTGTCAGTAACTTGATTTCGGAAAAGTTACTTTCAAACAGGTGAAAAACATGCTTTAATCGATATCTTGTATTTCAAAACAAGTTTTATATGTGTAATTATTCCACGTCTCAAATGAATACATGCAGTTTTATTTAATTTCTAATGAAGACATAACTATTGAATCGTTCGTGTTTCAAGATATGTATAAGATTCCATTCTGAGTATCTCGCCTAATACGCTCTTGAGATGAGATTTGAGAAACGACTATAAATATGGGCCTAATATTCTCTTCAGTTATCAATTGTTACATTCACATATATTTCTTCAGTCTTCAGATTTTCGCTTTTCTCTTAGACGCTTACGATACGATCAAAATATTACCATATTGATTCGATCGAGTAATGATGATTTTTCTAAAGTTAGTAATGCAACAATGTTTACTTTTATCACACCATCGTGTCTACAAGTTCATCATAATTTAAGTATCTGTGGTAAGTTAATAAAATAATGTAAAAAAAATTAACTTATTTTGAATTTTATCAATTACATATTGAGTTTTTTTTAAAAGAAAAAACTGGTTTAAGTGTATATTTTTTTTATATATGGCTTTCTCGATTTTTGCAGCACCTGAAAAGGTGCAAGGTTTGCAAATAAAATACATTCGAAAGCGAAGTGAAATGTCATATGACATTGTAGTTACTTGGAATAAACCTTTTCTACAACCAGATAATTACACATTACAATTTAACTCACTTCAATTTGGGCCACGTTTACTAATTGTATCTGGGGTCAGTGTGTTATCATAAAGTAACGATTGCTTTAATTAAAATTTCTCGTAAAAAAGCACAAGTTTTTACTTTTTCTACAGAATGCAGTTAAAGCTCTTTTCTTAAACATCGATGTAAAACTGCAGTATGAGATCAATATTGTGGCAGAATCAATGGGCGGTGTAAGTTTACCATCGACTATATCCGGGAGTATCGACGAAGCATCAGGTAGGCAAGTAAAGATGATAATCATTTCAATCATCATCCATGAATAAAATTGGTACTCAAATAAGACATATGCAACATAATAGTTGCAGAGCTATCTTATCGCGAGATTATTGTAGCGTTATCAACGTTAGTGATTGTTATGGGAGTATTTGGAATAATTTGTATACGATATCGTAACAAGAAGAATAAGCGAACTAATATGGAATATATGTATTTTGAGGTAAGCTCATCAATAAACCAGTACTATATATTTATATGATGACCAATTGTAAGATAGTTATTGACTTTTGTCGTATAATCAATTTTCAATCGTAAATAGTATTATTCAAGCCTCATTTATATATAATAGCTAGACATTTTCTTATTGATCGCACAATATCCAGCCCTACGTTTCTACTAACAAGTTAATAATTTTATGCTAGAAGATTTATACAATTTTGTTACTGTGAATAATAATTCTCTTAGCGGATATTATCGTGAGAGAGAGAGAGAGAGAAATTTGTTTTATTATTTAAGTAATTTTCCAATTATCTCAAATCCAAAACGATTATATAAAATGGATTTTACTAATTTTTTGTTTATAGAGTTCTATGGATTCCCTAAAGAAGCTTTTAAATCGGGATTATGTAGTAGAAAATAGCAATACTCTTTTGCCTCATGATAAATTTCAACTTGCTCCACAACGGCTAAAACTTAAAGGCATATTAGGAAGTGGAGCATACGGTATTGTTAGACTTGCCTCGTTGCAAGATGACCTCGGCTCTATCGTAGACGTAGCTGTTAAAATGATGAAAGGTATGTTAATAAAATATAACTCCAAATAAAAATCTATTAATTTATATTAAATATATTACATACTCAAAAGAAATCTACATTCTTACGTGAGTATATATGTATGTATATAAATAATTGTATTGGAGAAACATTAAAATATATAGATGAACAATTTTATTCCATTCTATATATGTAGATAATCCAACGATAGACGATATAAAAAATTTTTATCGAGAGATTTCAATGATGAAGTCTGCTGGTCAACATCCAAATATAGTATCTTTAATTGGATATTGTACTTTGTATAATAAACCTTTATTAGTAGTGGAATATTGTAGCAAAGGTGACTTACAAACATATTTAAGAACGGTAAGCTACATCAAAGAGTTTTATATTTTATGTATACATATATGTACATATACATATGTATATTAGATTGTTAAGTAAAAAAAAAATTTTTTTTTAATTGGCTTTTCAGCTTAAAAGCTTCCATTTTATGGAAACAATATGCTTCCGTTTTGTGTGTTCCAAAAGAACATCCTTAAATTTTTATTAAAAAAATATTAAGATTTAGAGATCGCTATATATAAGTGAACAATTGTTAAATCAAAGTTTCGATTTTCCTTAATACATGTTTGATTTGATCCAAAAATGGCTTAATTCGGATTTTAAATGTGGTAGGTTTCTCTCTCTTTCTCTCTCTCTCTCTCCTCTCCCCTCCCTCTCCCCCTCCCTCCCTCTCTCCCTCCCTCTCCCCCTTCCTCTCTCCTCCCTCCCTCTCTCTCTCTAAACACGGTGCAATAATTTCATTTAGCTCTACGATATACGCCTTAAGAAATATTACTCGATTAATGTGAAAAAATGACCAAATTTCGAGTTCAAAATCGATTTTAGGTTCCATTCAAATGGGTCGTTACTTCCTTTAAATTAAATATACAATAGTAAAATAAATTACCGTTGAGAGCCAACACAGGATGAAAGTGTGTAATGAAATTTATTTAGTTACATAAAATTGCATACGTTTCGACCTTAGTCCCAGGTCCTTTTCAATGCATAAATTACACTATAATATTGAAAAAATTCTTCGTTAAAATAAAGAGTGTCAAAAACGCGTGCAATAAAAAAAAAACTAATAGCTATATGGTATTGTCCAATTGTAATCAAATCACGACACGATCATTGAGATGCAAAATTCAATGATTGCCGAGAATTTGAAAAGCGTATAATTATTGCACAGATTCCATTAATTCCACAGTTTAATTGAAGTGCAAAGTGAATTTAATCGATGTTGAATCATCAAAAGTAACATGTGAAATAAAGGACCCCGCACAAAACTTATGGAAAATGGTTTTCGGTCAAATTGGCTGAAATTTTACTATGTTATAGTTTTCGCTATGCTGATAAAAAGTTATCATTGCACCAAGTTCCAAAAGTCAATATTTCCCAAGATATAAAGGGTCAAAGTAGTGAAATATGGTAATTCGTAGTAGTAAGACGTATGTTATAAGTATAAGTGATACATTGATATTTATTCACGAAATAAATAAAAATCGATTTTTACATGTATATATGTACAGGGTGTCATTAACCGATTAAATCACCTATCTAGAGCAGGTAGAGTAGATCGAATTAAGTCGAAAAGTCTTATACCATTTTGCAGTTTACGCAATATTTAACGAGATATTAGACCTTAAATATAACCGAATAAACGCGTTCGTCCGGCCTACTACTACAGAATATCCGCCATCGTTAGCTTGGCGCGCGGGGAGTGGGAGACGCCTCGCGCCGCGCACACCGCTGCAAGCCTCTAAACTCTGACGACACACGAAATGATTTTTATTTATTTCGCGAATAAATGTCAATGTATCACTTATACTTATAACATACGTCTTACTACTGCGGATGACCATATTTCACTACTTTGACCCTTTATATCTTGGGAAATATTAACTTTTGGGACTTGGTGCAATGATAACTTTTTATCAGTATGGCGAAAACCATAACATATTAAAATTTCAGCCAATTTGACCGAAAACCATTTTCCATAAGTTTTGTGCGGGGTCCTTTCACGTATTCTCGTATTCTCTCGCCGATCGACGTTTGCGACTGCGAGACGTCGAGTAGTGAGAGTCAACGATGGCCGAACGAGCTCGGTAGCGTTCAGCGGTATTCAGCGTTGCTGACGGTTAAGGCCTTTGCACGTAAAAAAGCGTTAACCGTAACCTTAATTTTAGTAGTTTCCAACACGTACAATCAAATGGAGCAATGCAAATGAAATTCCGTTACCGTAATTTTTCATTTTGGCACTGGCGGTCGCAGTTTTTGTTTCTGATGTTTGGAACAGAGATAATTCGGGTCAAACAACAAAAGGAAGGTTAAAGTTACGGTTAACGCTTTTTTCACAGGTACACATCGGTACCTGTGAATTATGTTTGATTTTTTAAAAATATTTCAGGCGCACCGCGTCCTCATTGCTGCATCGCAAAACGATGCAGCGGCATCCGGCTGGATATTGCTGGGAACGATGCGTATAAGGGACACATTGTTACAAACTTTTGAGCTGAGAGGTTGATTAAAAAAAAAAATTTTTTTTAACAGTCTAATGTATATACCATATACATGACGTATATGTAGGGTGTTTCTGAAAAAGCGTTCACTAATTATACATAGCGCTAATTCTGATCTAAAATTGAGTGACATTTCTTGAGCCATTTTTTGGTACAATGCTGTATGGAACAGTTATTATCAAGTAAAGAGCTAAAACGGACTTCCGTGTAAAAGACGACGGCTATTCGATTAGCTCTCTTTACTTGATAACAACTGTTGTTAACTGGTAGCATTGTACCAAAAAATGACTCAAGAAATTTCGACTCAATTTTAGATCAGGATTAGCGCTATGTAATTAGTGTCCGCTTTTTCAGAAACATTCTATATGTATATAGGGTGGCTGAGAATAACCGCCAAATATTTCATGCATGGGTAGAACAAACTATATTGAGTCGAAAAGTCCTGTACCACTTTGCGGTTGCAGTAATAGTTAACGAGATATTAATTTATAAAAATATTTAAATTCGCCCGGCCCACCGTCAAATGCAAGCGCGCGACTGGATAGGACCGCCCTGCAAAACGCGTCGCGCGCGTTCGCCGTTACTAGGAGTTGTTTATAAAAAGCGTTGTTTATAATAAGCGGTAATAGTCGTCGCTAGACATGAGTCGTGTGCCTAGCGACAGCGAACGCACTCGGTGCGCTTTGCAGGGCGGTCCTATCAAGCCGCGCGCTTACATTTGACGGTAGGCCGGGCGAATTTAAATATTTTTATAAATTAATATCTCGTTAACTATTACTGCAATCACAAAATGGTACAGGACTTTTTGACTCAGTATAGTCTGTTCTACCCATACATGAAATATTTGGAGATTATTCTCAGCCACATATGTATGTAGAGAAAAGGCTCCTATTATGAGATGCTGGCCCGTATTCAGAACGCGCTAACATGCTATAGTTTACGTCACGTATACTATATAATTTCAGAGATAAAAGCGCACTTTTATCGATAAAAGTGAATACGGGCGACTGAGTTTACTTTAAGTAAATGCTAGAAATGTGTAGGCAGAATTTAAAAAAATAATAGGTCATTTTGAACAGAATTTAATAAGCTTTAAGATAGTGTCATGTAATATTTTAATATTTAATTCAAATTTTATTTTATTTTTTAATTAAAGAAATGTAAAAGGTGAACAAATCGCAAAATCAAAAAATTGTGCTCCTAATATGAGATACCGATAATAAAGCACAAAGTACATCAGTATTAGAATTAAAAAAACTTTATTTGATGTTTATAAAATACCAACGAGTACAATTGTGCGCGTAAATTGAGCATGTGATGCATTGTACTCAGGATTTGTCTTCAGTAGTAATTGAAATGAAGTATTGCAGAAACAGATCCTCAATGTTCATTCCGGTTATTCTTTTTATTATTGTACAATAACATTTATACTTTAACATCGATTTTCACTTAGACACAGAAGTATAGATTATTTTATATTCGAAATATCCTAGGTATCTCATATTACGAGTATCACGTCTTACAGTTTTACGATCATCAAATCTAACTTCTTTAATTAAACAATTCAACATATTCCGTATTTTTCTATCAGTACGATCTTACTCTATTACTACATAAAGAATTTATTGCCAAATAATTACTTATTAAATGATAAACAAAGATTAAAGACTTACCTCAATAAAACTTGAAAAAAAAACATTTAAATTTTAAAATTTTATTTTACAATTACTGTAGGCATGATCTAACAATAAATTTTCCACTAAATAGTTTTCAATCCAAGAGCAATAATTTCATGATAGAATCAACAGATAGCATTTATTAGTTTAGCAGAAATCTCATAATAGGGATAGAGACCCTCTAACAGAGACTGGCCATCAGGTGAGTCCGCCATTTCCTAGTGAAATCCTTTACAAGTGAGAGAGAAATATAGGCCATTTCACTCTTTCACTCACACGAATATGTGCGTTCGTATGTATTCGTTTATTCAAGTTGATTTGAGTTGATTCAAGGTTGTGTTCGTGGTTTTTGCTCAGTACAAAATAATAACAATAAAAATGGGTGGTTGCACTGCACAATTCTGGAAAAATTATTTAATATCTGTCTTTAGTCAGGTTACGGCTAAACATGTTTTAAATTATCATCAATTGTTTCCTAAAATTATTAGAAAGTTTGTCATATTCAAATTAAGAACATTAAGTAAGAAAAATACTAATATTAATAGAAGATATGATAGTAAATCATTGGCAGTACACACCTTTTTTAAATAAATCTTACAAATGTTAAGTGTTTTTACTTTTGTCACTGATTTCCTAACCTTACCCAGACAGCACACGGATATCCGTGGGACATTCGTTTTACATCCTTCGGACATTCAGTGGACGTCCATAGGACATCAGTTTGCGACGTTGGTGGACATACTAAAAACGTCCCTGACATGTCCGGTGGACGTCCGATGGATATCCGATAACCGTTTTTAATGGACGTATAAAGGAGCATCCAGATTTGCAATAATATACAGAATAATATAATAAATTAAAAAGATGAAAAATATATTTTGAATAAACTTCATTCAATATATAATATATAATATTTTTTTTATAAATATTATATATTATATATTGAATAAAGATTATTCAAAATATATTTTTCATCTTTTTAATTTATTAAATAAAAGCAAGAAGCATCACTCACTTCGTCGTCCGCGACGATTGCGACGATGCTTGACGATTGCGAGTGATGCTCTTGACGATTGCGACGATGCTCACGACGAGCACAACGGCACGGTTCGCACTTCAGTACACGCACACGTACCGTTTGCACGGCTATTTCAGTTTTAAGGTTTGTTCGCATCGCACGCTCCAACCTCCAACATGCTCCAATATGCTCCTACCATAGCTCTTGCTCACTTCAACGAGCACGTTGGAGAGAGTAAGAGCTATGTTAGGAGCATATTGGAGCATGTTAGAGCATGCGACGCGAATAAACCTTATGTCTTCAATTAAAAAATGCATAACCCGCGAAAATGGCGAGAATCGCCCGAACACCGGCTAACCTAACTGCTTGCGTCCACGACGTCGTCACGCCGCTAACACGCGCGTCAGGATGAACGAACGGGACATCCAAAATGGCGAGACCGCTAGACGGATTTTGAGTAATCGCACGGCACAGTCAAAGTCGGCGCAACACTTTTCAAAAATATAACGCGGAAACAAGCACGTACCCGACAAAAACGTGTCCATCCAACACGACGGATGATGCAACAAGATTCACGGCTATTTCAAAATGGCAAGAAACAAAAGAGAAATCGGAAGCAGAATTACATATTCAGATGGCATTGGCATAGATCGAGGGAGCTATATGCGCCGAAATCCGCATTGCGAACAACATATGGATATACAAATTTGTCCATTTAGGGATATCCGTAGAGCATCCATAAATGTATATCCTATGGACAGCTTATAAAGGTCCATGGACATCCCGACCAGAAATGGACATGAAACGGATGTCCGTAGGACATCCTGTGCTGTCTGGGTTACTTTAATTTTATTTGAAAAAGATTTAATATAATTAAGAAAAAATATTAAATATAGAAATTATTTAACGTATAAACAAAAAGAACGAAGACAATATAAGAGTCAATGTTTAAAATTTAATAACAAAGTCAAAAATTAAATCATGAATGTCAAAAAACAGATATTATAACAAAGTTATTTAAAGATAAAGATGTATATAACTGACAA